ATATATATTTATATATTTATATATATATATATATATATATATATATATATATATATTTAATTTTTATGAGAAATTGACAGGATTAAGAAAAAGATGGTATGGTACGTAAGTATCACGGGGATCCAGAACATTCCAGTTAAAAAGTCAATGAAGTGATGATCAAAAATAGATCTGAGAAGATTACAGCAGCAGCAGCTCCTGGAATAGTATGAAATTAATCATCTTGGAAATAAAGTAAAGCAAGAAGTATCCAGGGAGAGAGGCTTTGCACTGGGGCCTCCACAGCATTAGATGTTGATTCTAGGGTATTGCAGCCCTCATATGCCACTAGGAATAATTCCTGGAAATAGTATTAACCCAAATCCCACTAATAAATGAAGAGTCCTGGGTGTAGGCTCTGGATACTGAACAACAGTTTGTGTGACTAACAAAAAATATTATGTTATCGAAGATGAATGTCACCTACAAATTTTAGTTGTCTTAATTATAGTCTGCAGCTGTTATGCAAAGCCAAAAATAATGTAACTGTCACCATCAAAATGTATTTTTTTAAAGGCATGTCTATACAAATGGCACCATGGTGAATGCTTTACGGATTGAGTAAATTTTTAAAAGGCTCCCAGTATAAAGTGGATTGACTAGGTTCTATCCTGTAGCTGGTGAAATCTGCTAAGATCTTAATTCTTTCAAGACAAGGAGCTATGTCCTCAAGGAGAACCAAGTTCTCTGTTTGAGCATTCATGAACTTCACTGTACTATTGGGTGAACTTCTCATACAATTCACAGCATATTCGCTATGAATTCTCCGGCCTCACTTGAAGCCTCCCCTCCTCTGGGGCTTTGACACATCATAAATATCCTTATTTTTTTCTTTCAAAATGATAGTGTTATTTGGAAATAAATAAGAGGTAAAGAAAAAGAAAGTATCAATTATGATCGTAATAGTTTTTCTTTTAATTGTCAGGTACTTGAATACAGCTTTGGATAATTGTCACAGCAAGATATAGAAATGTCCTTTGAGCAGAAAAACACCATAAATAAATTTTATTGTATATAGAAGACTTTATCAAGCTCTCTTGGTGAAAACTGCCATATTAATTTGTACTTTCAAAAATTAAAATAATTATTCATTTTTTAGTATTTAGATTACCATATGGCATTTCTTCCCCCAAACCATATGAATGGTTCTATATCTACAGTATCAAAATAATTACTAGACAGTGAAAAATTCACTCACTGGGGAGTTTTTGTTTTTTTTTTTTAATGATTGCTCGCAGATGATTTTATTTTTTTCATGATGAAATTTGTGTGTCCATCAGGTTTTTGTTGTCTTGTGGACAATGCTCAAATATTAATATATGGTTGGTGCTTATCAACATCATATCAAAACCACCAGATGTCAGGACAGTTGAACTATTTGGGAATAATATCTGAAGAAATAAATTCCATCTTTTGTTGTTTTGAAACATAATCAATGAGAAGCTGAAAAAAATAGAGAAGTTTACAAATATGAGACTGTTCTTTATCTTATGATAAACTGAACTGTAAATGAAATGAGCAGTTTATCTTTTAAATATTTGCAAAATGCTATTTTTCTCTTTATCATATTTATAAATGTTTTTTGAGAACAACCAATGAAATATAAATAAGCAAGCTAAATAAAAATATTTGCTCATCACACAGAATCCCAGCCTATTGGTTTAATAGAGCAAGCATGTATTAGGTCTGTCGTACTGAGAAACGTCTTCCTGTGTATCTTGCAGTGTTGGTGGTTAAAGAATTGACACGAGAGACTGGAAGAGGACAGACCAATTTTGAGATAATAAAAATAAATGTCTCTCTAAGACTCATCATGTTGAAGAAAGACTCACATTTCTCTGCAGCCAGCATTTGGAGGAGAGAGCTATTTTTAGCCACAGATACACTTCAGATTCCATTAACTAACTAAAACCAGGGGCTGCTTAGGAACAATCCTTGAACACAGTCCATTGTAAAATTGCAAAATAGAAATGGGGATGGGGTCATTGGAAAAGTGACTTAAAGGAGTGGGGCGCTAAAAACAGAAATACCAGGGTGGTCAATAAGGATGGAAAAGGAAGGGTTTGGGGATTTATTAGAAATTGGTGACCTTTAAAGAGCAGTTTCAGTCACCCCAGGAAGGTCAAGCAATCAAGTGTCCAGGATCAGAAGCTTTCAGATTTGTTGACCAAGTAATAGACTCAGGCTGCTATAATAAGGCTTCCCAAATTTCTGTTTCCAGAGCCTGGTTCCTCTGTGCCAAGCACACCCAACTCAGTCATCAGCAAAGCCTCCTGCTGAGAATCTGCATGAGGGGTTTTCAGGCAGCAGCTGGAAATCTCATCTGTGTTGTAACTGCTCTTCTTGACAAGAGACCCAAGCCTCCATGGGCACAGGGGACCTGGGAACCTATCTCTCCGCTTTGCTGAGAGCAAAAAGACAGCATCCCTGACCACCCCCTTAATCAGCCAAGTTCAAACACAATCACACAAGCTTCAATTCTGCAAATTTCACAGACTATACAATTTAGAATCACACTGAGCCCTAATAAATAGAGGACATCTAATCACTTAGTCACATAATTACCTAAATTGGGGACATCTAATCATTTCCTGAATCTAATGCTTAGAGTCGAATTTATGAGAAATGAAACAACAACAAAACAGTTCTTGGAGGGAGCCAGAGATTCTCGTGAGGAACAAAGACTTCTGATTTCTTTTATTCTTTTATATTCACTTCTCTGTTTTTCTGTTTATTTGTTTTCTTTCACAGAAAATACTGTCATTCTAAGTAATAATGAAAACCTAAAGAAACCACTCTTTATTGAGTGCCTACTGTGCTTCAGGCACCAGGCATTTTACATTTTACGTTCAATACATCGAATTCTTACATGAACGTTTTATGGCAGGAATTAGTAATAATAGAAGAAATTGACAATCATGATTGGTAAGAAGGACTCTGATGCTACTTCCATATCACTTTTCCTTTTTGTTATTTCCAGTCTTTCACTAATATAAGCCATGCTGCAGTATCTTGTGTCTCCTTGTAAATGTATACCATGGTCTGTAATACCTAGTCACAGAAGAACTGATTATAGATTAGAAACAGCTTTGATTTATTAAGATATGGTTTATACCTTTAACCAATGGTATTAGACGGTATTCTCTGTACCATTATATGGATCTAGGAACCAAGGATGGGCATAGAAGTGACCCTGGTCTCCTGGGGGACTTTTGCTTCCTATTCCCTCCCAGTAAGTTCAGACTCTACTAGGGGTCTCAGAGGTGGAGTAAGTAGTAAAGGCTTCACTAAACCCAAAGTTATAGCACCTGTCATTTTGGGTTCTTCATCACACCAGACAAAACAGACAAGGAAGGTGCTGCCCTCCAGGCCGAGGCATGCAGCCCAGATGATCATGAGGAGGTAGGGTCGCTGCTCACAATGGGAACAGGAAGGCACGTGTGGATTTGGAGCTCAGAAGGCTTCTGGTGCTTCTCTTTTTGGTAATAATCATATATGGGCAATTACAGCAACTAGGTCCTGTCAAGAACTGGGTCCACAACCCCTCAAGCATAAAGGTCTGACTTTCTCCATTAGGCTGGCAAGTACTGGCTAAGGGTTAGAGGAATCTTGAATAAATGGAAGAAAAGGCAAATAATGTATGTCATTGATGGCCTCAGGACCAACTGTAACTTATCCCACTAACTCTGTCGTAAATATATTTTGAGGAATTACAAATTTTCAAGGATAGCACCTTGAAAAAGCAATGACGGGACATGGCACATTTAATGTTGGATCAGGTGGATCAGGATGGTGCAAGGATCAGGTGGATCAGGGCTCTGTGCATGTCCGTTCCCGCACTCTAGCTGACTTCCATGTCTGTGTCTGCAGCTCTGTGCCTATCACATAGCAGGCCCTGAAGTGCAAAGGCATTAAACGCTCTTAGGAGCAGCTCCCAATCAATGACTCTCTGACGTCTGTGTGTACATCTCCCAGTTCCCGTGCCCTTTGGGTGGGATCATTCTAATGCAGGTGTTTCCCTACAGATTTAATCTCCAGTTGTCTATCATAACAGCTGGCTAAAGAATTTATCCTGCAGTCCTGTCTTGCACTTCTGTATCACTTTTCCTTTCTCCTACTGGTATTTCTTATACTACTGGGACATAAATTTTTGCTTCATAGCCTCCTCTGGAAGAACTCAAACTAAGACATAGGGTCTCAGCTGTTTGCAGGAATCTCCATTCCAGCTCATAATGCTCAAGGTCATATCGCTACACAGGAACGGGCCTATATAAGCGTCCAATTTATGAGGGACCAACAGAGTGCCAACCTTTACTCTGGGTTCCCATTTTGGTTTCTGTCCCACCATATTTGCTGTTTGTATTTTTTAAGTTTGGATGTGTGTGATTTGATTTTCAGAATAAAACTGAAATAATGAAGTCTCATGTCACTTCTATCAAACCCATAAAAATGAGGGCAGTGGATAATGCCAGGTGTGGACAGGGATACGAGGTCAGGGGTGCATTCACAGGCTTTTGCTGATGGCGAATACTGGTGCAGGCCTTACATAGAACAGTGTGGCAGTACTCAGCTACAATAGGCTTCCACTTACTCTTTGAGACCTAGCAATTCTTCTCCTGTGTATACATTCCAAGGCAATGCTCAGTGGATCCATGAGAAGGCATGCTTGGAAGCTCAACACATTGGGGTTCTTTGTTTTTGTTTGTTTTTGCTCTTGTTGTTGTCAGGAAATTGCCACCAATGTAGGCATCTACTGCAAGAGAAATCACTGGTAAGCTGTGTTGATGTCCAATCTGCAGGGCATGGTCAGGACAAGCCACAGACTAATTGTACCCACAGCAACTTGCAGAGAGCTTAAAAATACACTGCAAGGTGAAAAAAGTAGAAATCACAACAAGATATGTATCATAGTTCTTATATGCATATTAAAATAGGCCTATGAACAACAACTCATCTTCTGTAAGAACACAGCATATTGTATAGACCAAACACATTGGGGGAGAGTAGAGGAAACAGGAATGAGAAAAAAGAAAACACACGAACAAAAGCAGAACTGTGCTTTATGAAGACCAACGATAATGTATCAAGTACTGACAGATCAAAATTAACCTGACCCTTGGCACCTAAAATAAAAAAAGAAGTTTTTTGTTTGTTTGTTTGTTTGTTGATGTGTTTGGAGTATTTCAAGTATTTCTATAGGCCTGCTGCAGATGCAAGTTTGCCACAAGCTTAGTTGAAGTGTTGGAAGTACTATAACTCATTTAATAATTTCCTGGTGGTGGCGATTCGTCTGGTTCCAATTTTCTTCTATTACAAATAGTGCTGCACTGAGTGGCCTTCTGGGCCCACATGTAGTATATGTAGCACTGCTGAGAAAAGCAAGGAGATGAAGGGGGCAAGAATGCCGGGTTGTGTTGCAATCCTGGCTCCACTACTTTGTGCCCTTGAGTAGCTCAGTTAATTGCTCAAGGCCTCAGTTTCTTGATAGGAACAGTACTAACCTCCTAGAGTTACAGTGATGATGATAATAAATAAAATGAGTTCATGTCTGTCAAGCACTTAGAACAATGCTGGTACATACTGAGCACTCAACAGTATAAGTTACTATTATTTTATTTTTTAACAATATTAGTTATTATTAATTCTAGTGTTTTAGTGCATATTTCAATGGGATAAAATTACAGATATGGAATTTCTTGCTTTGGGGAATACATTTTAAATGTTTATGTATTTTAAAAATTCTAAAACGGCTGCATCAATTTAGTCTACCACCAAAGGTGCCCAGGCTATCATTTTTCTACACTCTACACCAAAAATAAGATAACTTCCTTCTTTGTCATTCTTTTTTTATTGCACTGGCGAGTAAAGCGTTACATTTCACCTTACATTTCTTTGGTTACAAGTATGTGGGTCTTTTAAACTGCTATGGACTATTCATTCAAAACTGGCATATTAACAAAATGAATCCTAACTGGCTTTAGACAAAAGAAGCTTCAATCAGCTTTTGTATTTATTTGGCTTATGACCTATGATAGATTCAACCAGTGCTAAGCTTAGGATGGAGCAGCCCTACATCCTGCCTTAGAGATTCTGCCATTATTTTCTTTCTGGCCAGATGGGCTACTGGGAGATATGAATGATCATGATTATACCAGAGTGTTGTCAGTGTACGTATTTTCCTAACATTCATAAACATCATCTTGATTAAAATCAAATCTCCAAAGCTGCTAGAAGTCAAGATAAGTTGACTCAGAATTATTGGACAGGGGATTGCTTTATGACATTGCTTTTACTTTAAACATTTTTAATGATATGTAAGATTTTAACCGTGTAATTTCAATCCAAATGCCTAAATTCTATCCTGTGACCTTAAAGAAATTTAAATGTCTACTATATCCTTATTAGAATAAATTGCCAGTTCATGAGGATTTAGAAAATGTCAGCCAGTAGAGCCAAAGGGGCTCTTTATTAAGAGGTTTATTTTGAAAAAAATCAAAGCATATAATCCAAGGGTAGTTCATATGGGGAAAAAAAAAAAAAAAACTAAAGTGCCAAAAGAGAAGACACTTCCTCTCAAAATTATCTTTTGATGATTTCTTCTATTGAGTTTCTGAAAAATTTTCCAATAAAAACATTTTTTATTCAGTGTGATATATATTGGGGCAATTCTCCCTCTTCTATCTCAGATATATCCTTGATGCACAGAACTCCTACTGATTCTATAGCAATTTTATCAATGTAGAAAGCCTGGTATGAAGAGAGAAGAGTCAGAGCACGTGTGATTTTATCAATCTATTGTTGTAAGAAACAACGGAATGGTAGGGGAATTGTCAGTTTTTAGAACAATATTTTGCTGCCCTGTATTCTTAGCTTACTTCTTGGGGAATTTGGAAAACTATAAGATTTCAGATTTCTATATTTTTCAGTATTAAACAAGGTTATTAATTATTGCTCATATAATCCCTATATTAAATGTTTTTACACTC